AAAAAAAAACTTCTCTTTAATACACAAGGATTCATTTCCAGCGCTAGTCTTTAGCCTCAATGTCGGGCTGCGAGATCAGCACTATGAATCAGCTGCCTCGACTAGATCAATCACACATTTGGCAATATGATTTGTAATCCCCAAATTATATTAGCAAGAAAATCAAAGGTGCATCTATAATGAAGCAGACATGGAGATCACCTATATCATATTCCAAAACAAACACATACCTTGCAATCCACAACAGAAGAATGACATTACAATTGCACAAGTTCATATTCCAAAACAAACACATACCTTGCAATCCACAACAGAAGAATGACATTACAATCGCACAAGTTTTGCAACGTTAAAGTTCTATCTTGTAGAAGCTTCGGGGTGTTAATACCACGAAATAAGCAAATACATAGAAGTACCCAATTACCAAGTGGGATTACACAAGAATGGTGGCATCTGTAATTTTAGTAAAAGAAGGTTTACCGTCCCGATTGGCCAAATAATTTACAGCTCAATGGGGAGGGCTACAAATGTTGTCAATAATTTATCACTTTTTTCCCATTAATAGTTGAAGAAGCACCCCTAGTTGTCTTCACGTAGGCAACATAGTCACTGTAATGCATGGTAAATAGGGTACTCTGATAACGAGTAAGTTGAACATGCTTTCGCAGTTGTCCAGTGATTGTGCCACTATAACCTGCCTTTCTCATCAATGAGTCGATAGCTTCAATTTTTGTCCAGCCTTCCAGGCAAAGAACCAAATCAAGAATATCAGGAGACTTTAAGCCAGGGAGATAATATATACACTACTCGACTACATGAGACATTTCATTCAGAGACTCCAGCCTCAGGCCCAGAGAAAACAGCAATGGAGAAAATTTTCGATCGGGTATCAAAAGTATCCATTTCTGCTCTTTCATATAATTTTGGTTCTTTTGGATATTTTCTTTTTCCTAAACAATCCACTTAGTCTCACATTTCTAACTACCAAAAATTTTTAGTTATCAATTTATTTTTTATTTCAATTCAACTTTAACCATTATGTTTTTTTATTTGAAATCATTTCACATTATCAAAAGTTTTTCATTTTTCCTCCAGAAATTTTCTTCCACTTGCTCTGGTGGAAACATTTGGTTTGTCAAAATTCGGGTGTGATTGGATTGAAAGTCCCGCTAGGGAATAGTGACAAAAAGAATTGTAAGAGAAAATTCTTTAAGAATGTGGAAAGACATAAGATGAAGAAGTAATAATTAAAGTTGATGCCATAAAAGATAATAGAGTTATAATTGGTAGTTAGAAATATGTAAGTGGATAGACAATTATAAATAGTTACTTTACTTTTATTTTGAAATTTTGTTGATAAGACGGGAGAGAAGAAGTGATATCACTGAATAGTGCATTTTCATCTATGCAATCACAAAGTTCGAGTAAATAAATCTCTGGCAGGATGACGTTGACTTTTTTTTTTTTGGCATGCAGTACCGTCTTCCATAACCAATTCTCATTAGTGTTACAAACAGTTTTCAAAGGGCAAATATGGATTACCTTCATGAGCAGCAACCTCAGGCAAGTAAGTGGCACTTCGCTTTGTATTGTGGTCAGGATCTGTAAATTCAATAATTACTCCATGCTTTCCAACCTACATATACAGATCTTTTATCAGGAAGCTTCTGACTCAAGAATTGCTGCCTGCCACGTATTGTTACTCATCATACAAATATTTCGTAAGACCATAATGGTCAGGGAGTAGTAGATGATTATGAATTATAATAAAATCAGACAACAAAAAATGCGTCAAACCACCAGCAACATTCCATTCCGTACGGAGACAATTTCAGAATTACAGTTATTTTTATTTACGTTTTATTTTAGCATTCTAGATTTGTAGGGTTTTCCAAATACGTAAGGGTTTTAGTATTCGTTTAGGGTACTTTTTCATGTCTAGTTATTTCTACAATTTTCTACTTTTTGATATATTTAAAGTTAACTTCAATTTATAGATTAAGTTATTGAAGTCCAGTCTTATGTGACAACAGTGTATGTCTACCAACAAAGGCATCTATGCATTGCTGACACAAAGTTTCAAAGACTACGTCAATCAATTAGATAAAGGTGACATTAAGTGAAAATTTTAAGGTTTGCTGAGGAAATGGTAAGATATGTAAGACAATAAGTGAAAAAAAAAGGTCAGCTTGTGGTCTGCATAGGACGTAATTCCTTCACACTGAAAATCAATGAGCATGAACATAACCTAGAGTTCATTACACATGTACTGTTATGGGCTTGTACAGAGACTTTACTATACCACTGTTCTGCAGAAGATGCTAGTCAATTACATTTCACATTATCAATCCAGCCCAGAATGGAGCAACAGAAATATTATCATTGGGGCGAAAGTTCCTATCCTACTGAACCCATAAGGAGCTTCTGCCTCAGATATGTAAAGTCTCCAGTAAGTTAAAGTTAAGGAAATGAGACAAAGCTAACTTTTTTTTTTTTTAAGACAAAGCTAACTTAAACACCAACTATTTTCTGATAAAACAAATGGAAATACAGCTTATTGGCACACTGATTATCCCAAGAAGTGTGCCTCTCTCATATCAAATTTCTCCTCTCCTTGACATTCAAATTTTCCCCCTCAAAACAGCTAAGTAGCTGTCCACAATCATATATTTAAGGCATAGGTCATTCTCAATAAACTATTCAAAATTGACGATAAAATAAATCGGATATTATGCGTACTGATTCAAGGTTGTGAAGAACATAAAGACTGACCTCCCAATCAAGGTAGTCATTAGCAGTTTCGTAGTTAGTCAGGATGGAAACTGTACATTCCAAGTAAGGCAACTCTTTTGCTTGTATAGGGGGGAAACGGCGGTCCCGCAGGGCACTGTAAATACAATTCCAAGATTTAGAGGATATGTTTTGTGCTCCAGTAATGGTGGCAAAATGCATTAAACCCAAGTGAACAATTCTAAAGCGTAACCACATTGAATAAACAAACTGGATTTTATAGTGCAAACAACATGTCAAACCACCTGTACCATAAACAATTTTCAGTTATTCTCAGATTGGTTGAAATTCTCAGAAAAACACAAGAAAAAAGAAAAGTTTGGTTGAACTTGTCTATTTTGGAACAACTTTCCAAGTTATCCTACTTAAAAAAAAAAAAAAA